TATACAGTAACTTTGTATATTTTGGTTTTCTTTGAATTTCGTGTCTGGTTTCTAGGTAATACAGCTGACAATATCTAATTCGGATAGCCCACGCATTCCTCATTCCCGAAGTGTACTTTCTTTCCCCATACCATAACGACTCGGACAAATATTTGCTGGAAATGTGCTTCGGACACGCACTTAACCGAATTTATGCATTAAATGCGAATAGTTGTACCACAGGCCTTGTCCGGGTAGCGGCACGGCCTGCGGCCTACCTGCCGCTTTTCCCGACAAGAGGAATCGATTGGACATTCGGTGAAGTGCACGATTGGGGCTCACTCCTCGCCAAGGCACCGCCTGCACAAAATTATACACACGACCTCCGCTACGCTGCGGTGTGCGCAATTTTGTGGGCGGATGCTCTGTCGTCGCTCGCTACTGTAAAGCTGATCGTTCTTATGCGGGTTAATACAATACACAAGTATGTCCGAACATATTCCGTTCGGACACTTTCATTCGGACAAAATATGTTCCCCTTAAGTCCAATACAAATGCCAAGTATGTCCGACTGAAATTGTCCGAACGTGTCCGCAAAGTGATCATATTCACCCATATTCAATCATTTGGGCAAAATAACTCAACTAACAGTAAACCAAAAACGTGCATTCATAATCGGACAGAGGTAGTACTTATTTATGCAAAATGAATATATTCTTTTGGAGAATTATTTTATGATCACCAATGGTAGTAGAGTATGGCAACGATTGCACTGGACTTAGTGAGTGACTCGAACACACTCGTCTACTGTAGAAAGGAGAAGTATACCAATCAGAACTCTACGCATGATTCAATATTACGAGTATTGATTAGTCAAACCACGCGAATACGAATTTACTAATGGAGTTGTATGGCAACAATTGCACTGTACTTAGTGAAGGACTCGAAGCACACTCGTCCTACCGATACATACATCTATCTACCTCAAACTTGGCTCCATGTACATCAACTTCCATGCCATATCGATACTCCTTCAATCACCTTTACGGTGAGATTGCTATTGTTAACAACGGGGAACAACCATCATGTTTACGATTGGATACGCTTGTCCAATTCATTCATATACGTGTATAACTAACTACACAACATCCACCATATATGTGCCGTCGTAAGGGCCTGTTCCAAGTAGATATTTTTAGCATATGCAAAGTTGTTCCAAGTATAGTGGACTCGGAACAAGTTTCCAGATCGAATCTCGCCGCCGAATCACGAATCGACGATACTGGCTAATCTAATTTTAAGTGGATTTGATTGGCTCTTACAGAACGGACAAGTATACAGAATATTCAACGAATCAGAACTCCAGTGTGAGTCAATATTGATTAGTCAAACCACTCGAAGTTTGAACGTTATAGCGAATTCACAATACAATTTCCTACGTTTTACCTCGTTTTCTACGATTTTTTTTTACGCAACTCACTTTACCGAAATTGTAGTCTTTCTGAAAATGTAATGCTACCCCCCACTGAGTTTGTCAAGCGACGTAATCTCCGACGTAGTTGCATGTAGGTGTTCACTACGTCGACATCAACATCCTCGACGTAATTGCAGGTATCTTATACATGATAGTGGTACTGTAGTAAAAATATTGTTAGGAAATTACAGTATTATTGTTATTATTAACTGTAAAAGAAATGTCATGATACAAATATCAAATACGTTCATCTCAGAACAAAGAAGTATTCATTCAAGGGATTGAACCCGGACCACCTCGATCAAAGTCTGATCCCACTACGAGTACACTAAGCGATCCTATTTGAAATAAGTTGTCATTTACATTATTAGTAAAGCACTTGTGCATGTGAACTGGGGACGAACGATAAACTTCCATCTAGGAAGACGCTAGGTCACTGAGTTGGAGAGGAGTATGGAGCTTTGCTTTCGAGGGACACGAAGTGGTATGCAGATCCTACGCGTATCAGTCGGTGAACTGTAGGCACTAGTGTAGATGATGCCCTGTTAACATTTTAAATGTATTTTAAATACATCCAACTCCTTGTACCAACCGGATAAATTTGATTGCCCAGCTAACCATCCGGATAAACTGATTAACCGGCCACCAAAACCATGACCAACATTATTTGCCGCCCTGTTTTGGGCGGCAAGTGCAAACATTTGAAGGAATTAACCAATGAAATTTGTCGACTTCGAAGCAAATCACCTGTGATATGCGTGTCACTTCTCGTTTGCCATCTATAGACACGCATGCCATCACCACGAACCGCCCGTGTCGAGGCACCTGCTGCTGCACCGAGCAACCACCCGGACATGTACGACATGTCCGGGCTGGAAGACTTCTCGTATGACGAAGTAATGCGAGTGACGCAATCCGAAGAGGAATGCGTTAAGTGGTGCATAAAGGTCGGGTTGCTGCGGTCGCCGATGATGTGCCCAAAGTGCGCCAAACCCATGAAGCTACGGCAACAGCGATGGCGCTGCCAACGGAGCGCCTGCGGCTCTGCCCAGCTCAGCGTCAAGGCAGGTTCGTTTTTCGCGAATTCGAAGATTCCGATCTGCAAAGCAGTTCGT